CAAAGCTTGTGTATAGCTTTCTTGATAAAAACCTCTTAGATCACTCTATAAACCAAACATATGGTTCGCTGTCGAGGAACCTAACGTTTATTAAGTCTGTTGCATCTGGCATAATGGTCCCTAAGGACTACATTTGGCCAGTGACGAATGATAACTATCTACTGCCGTCCACATCAATTGTCACAGATGCGCACAAAGCAGGGCTGGAAATATATGCCTCTGATTTTGCCAATGATAGAATTATTCCCTATAACTACAGCTACGATCCATTGGCGGAATACCTAAACTTTATCAGTGATGGTGGCTTCTCTGTTGATGGTGTACTGTCGGACTACCCTATTACTGCATCAGAGGCAATTGGTAAGCTACTAAGTTTTGCATTAGTACATCATAAGGATTCAACTACAATGTAGTTATCGATATCCTTTGAAGTACTTCCTCTGTTCTGCTATAACAATATTTTGGATTTGCGCATTTATATTAAGTAAAAGGCACAGCATTGCAATCCTCCTATGGAACTTATATTTTCTAATACGTTGGGTTGATAATAGAATGTTTGCCACCCCCCCCCAATCCCCCCATTTAGTCTTAGTGTTCACTGTGTAGTGATGAATATATTGGCATCGTAGGGTCTAAAAAAACATTACCACATTTTAAGATATGTTTGTGCCCATTTGAAAACTTAGTATGATAGTTAGATGTTTTTATGAAAAAAAAGCAATACTCCGGTATGGTTTTTAATTCATTTGAATCTTCTCATCATCTGCAGGTTGTTTTGCTGAACTGAATTCAAGTAAGACGGATCATGGTATGTTTCATGCCTTAGTAATTGTACCATGATGGTTGGATATCTTCTATTTCAACTCAGTTTAATTATCTGTAGTGCTTCTTTACAGGGAAACCCTTAGTTATCTCGCATAATGGTGATAGTGGAGACTATCCGGACTGTACAGACCTGGCCTACAATAGTGCCATTGATGATGGCGCAGATGTAATTGATTGTCCAGTTCAAGTGACAAGTGATGGAGTTCTTATGTGCATGAGTTCCATTAATCTGCTTGACACCACGAATGTTCAGAAAACTCCTTTCGCCACTCCTCCTTCTGTTGTTCCAGAAATTCAGTCTACACCAGGAATCTTCACATTCAACGTCACTTGGGCCAACATTAACAGTAGTGCTTTAAAACGTGAGTTTTCTTTTGTAGCATTGTCGATATAATTTTTACCGTGTTGCTTTCTACTACCAAAAGTAAATGGAAAATAACATTACAAATACATGAATACCTCACAAAAGGCACAAACTCATAAGTATCCTTTTGACTGGCCCTTTATCTACAGCCAAGATATCTTCCCCAGTGAGTGATTATTATCTTGTAAGGAACCCAAGGTACGCAAATCAAGGGAAGTTTCTGAAGTTATCTGACTTTCTTGCAATCGTAATGGATAGCGATTTGTCTGGTGCCATGATCATTATTGAGGTGATACCTTCACTCGAAGTTTTGCTTATTTTGATATGATCTCATAGAATTGAACTTTCCACCTGATTTTTGTCTCTCTATTATGACAATGTGATACCTGTCCGTTTCGTTAAAAAAAGCATGACTATGTGATGTGCAAAAAAGTTCACCAGATAGTTAACATCATTATATTAAGAAGGAGACATAACTTGTATAAACTTCTGCAAAGGTTGTGTTTTTCCCTTATGGCTTACCAAATATCCTATTAATCTTTCAAGAAGTTAAATATCTTAAAATTATCTTAATAAATAGAATTCTTTCGTCATTGACCAATCTATCTTTTGTACTACAGAATGCTGCATATATAGCGAAGTCATTAGAAATTGACATTGTTGATTCTGTAACCACTGCCTTAAGTGCTGCTGGCTTTGATAATCAGACTGCCAAGGAAGTTCTGATCCAGTCAAAAGATAGTGCTGTTCTAGTCAAATTGAAGCAGCAGAAAACAAAATACAAGCTTGTTTACACTCTCCCTTTAAGCATCGGGGACGCTTCTAATTCCTCATTGAAAGACATTAAGAAGTTTGCTCATGCTGTAGTTGTTGACAGGATATCTGTTTTCACTCTAAGTTATGATTTTATCATAAGACAGAACAGACTTGTGCAAGATCTGCAGTCAGCGGGGCTAGCCGTGTATGCACAGGTGTTCCGGAATGAGTTTGTAGCACACCCGTTGGATTTCTTTGGAGATGCAACTGTGGAAATCAATTACTATGTTCAGTCATTTAATCTATCTGGCATCATAACTGATTTCCCGAAGACAGTCAGAAGATACAAAAGTAAGTCTCATTTGCCACGTCATGTGACTAATCACTAGCTCGCATGCAGTTGCAGTATTTATGCTCCATGTTCTGACACCTACATACTCTTGCATTGGCAGAAAACACCTGTACAGTTCTGGGAAATGATATGCCGGACTACATGCTTCCTGTTGAGGCTGGCGGCCTTGTACAGCTACTCCGATCCTTCCAAACCCAGCCGCCATCTGTGGCACCAATGCCGGCACTAAATTCTTCAAGCGTGGAGGAGCCGCCTCTTCCTCCTGCTGCGCCAAGAAATGTGCCTGATGTTGGCCCCACCGCTCATCCTTCTGATGCTCATCAGACGGCTACTGCAGGTACTGGTATGCTACTTGTGATGGTTTCCGCAGTTCTGCTGATCTGAGCAGACACATGAGACTGTATAGTACACAACCGAAGCTAATGACAATTTCCTTTGGATTCGAGCAAGCTTTGACCAGCGATACGGTGCTACCATGCACTTTTTTCTCAGCTATTTTGGTATGTGGCCGCATAATCGTGTCCACATGTACAAATTTGTCAGTAGAAAGGTCATACTATCTCTAGTGAGCATGGTGTGTGTGGATATATCATACAGTACATTGCTAGTTGATACCACATTTTATGGTTTATGCACGCCATTGCTCTGTATAGGTCCTCATTCTGAGCTGAACATGCATATATATGCTCTGTGAATTGTCAAGCCTCACGCGTGGATTCCAGTCGTGGTTGCTGTTACTGGCTTACTGCCTAGCGCGGAGTAGTAACAGCCTGGTCGGCTGGTCTCAGGCTTCTCGAGTTGACTGAGCTGCTCCACTGAGAGCACAGCTACCCCGTGTGTAAGCGACTGTTTCGATTCATTAGCACTGATAGTTAGCCTCCACAAAGTCGAAACTTCGAAACACTATCCACATTGGATATAACACATTGCATTGTATGATCGCAACACAACTATGATGCCAATCACCCGTACTTGACATCTTTTAGGCTTTTACTCTCAGCACAGTGCTTGTAAGATTGCAACACGTGAGACGGATGCAAGATATAGGACTGACACTTCCTTGTCTCCTAAAGTGAAGAGCACACTACTAAATATAGGCTCTCTGATTAGCAGAGGCAGATATTTTTACCTTTTTAGAGACCGCATCAGGTCTCGAGAAAAACTCTCTTAATCGATTAATAAAGGCGGTCTCCAAAAAAGGCTATCAACAGAGATAGCATTCTAAGGATCCGCCTCTACAATAGACGACACTTTTAAGAGATCAGCTTCTATAAATAGTTACATAAAAAAATAATTTGTAATTTTTTCATACGAAGTCGGATGAATACAAAATTTATACCAAAATTATAAATCTAGAGTACAACATAGGGGTATGCCAAATCCTCGAGAAGGAGACAGTAGTCCGAATGACCCCCTGACCGACCCTCCGAATCGGTTGGGGGCTATAACCATTAGGTACGCTCGCGCGTACCCTCTGGTGGAACAAGGATGGCTCGGCAGCCTGTAAATCGCCCTCCAACATGGAGGCCCGAGATGTCAAAAGGGCAAGCCAGGCGACCGTTGCTCGGGGTTTGGGGGCTCAGCCACAGCGTCGGGATTTCCGACCGACGTAGAGCCTAGACCGAGTCCCCGCCATGGTGACTGGCCTAATCTTAGCTTGGGGCCAACCGACGTCTAGAACCAAGACCAGAAGCCAGCCCCGGAATCCGTCAGACCGTCAGAGTCTGACAAGTACAGAAGCACTACACCGCCTTCCCGTTCCACAGCCACGAGGCACTATCGGCCACTCCTTCGGTAGGGCCATGCAAGGGGTGTGACGCATCAGAACAAGAGACTCCCTAAGCCCACAGGGCAGAGGCCTTCGGGCCCACTCGTCAGCACCTTTGGGTATGGGGAGAATTGTTGCATACCAAGAAAGCCTAGAGAAGGCTCACCTGGGGAAGGACGCGTCGCCGTAGACATCACCTGACGGTCAAGCGCCCGACTGCAGTAGAGATGTCAGGGAGTGGTTGTGACATTGTCGGCCCTCCTCCTACATGACAAAGGAGTACCTGGCGAATTGTTATGATTATTCCTGACCCTCCTCCAAAACCTACACCAGCCAAGAAGATGACCCCTAGGAAGAAGCAACTGGCCACAAAGGTGAAGAAGTCTCCTGCCAAGGGGAACTGATAGCAAGCAATGAACCTTTGTGATGCATATTTTGGAACATATGTTATGGTATTCGCAAGTTGCATGAACAACTTGTTATGGTATTGTAAGTTGAATGAACAACTTGTAATGTATTGTCTTCTAGGCCTAAACAACTTGTAATGACTTTGCTATGGTTGTGTCATGTATCCGGACTGAATTTGCTATTTTAATTCTAGTTTCATCTCATTTGCATTGCTACATCAGTGCTCTTCCAGTGATGATTTTTGGATGTCATGTACAAGTGCAATAACAGAAACAACATTCCATTAACCATTGAATATTTTACACATACATGCCCACTGGTTGGTCCAACTAATACTGAAACACATAGGGCATGTTCGCTTCTCTTATAATCCGTCTTTTTTAGCTTGTTTTTTCAACCGTAACAGTGTTTTTCTCTCACAACAAATCAGTCGGAACAGTGTTTCGGCTTGTTTTTTCAGCGAAGCGAACGGGACCTATACATTACTCAACTAACACATAGATTTACCTAGTTCAACTAACAGACAACTACTTCATCACATACATAGCTCGAACCACTACACCAGCACCCATGACCAAGCTCAAAGCCTTCACTGCACCAACCAAAGCATCCAGCTTCACCTCCATTGAGTTCTTCTGCACAGGCACCAGTGCCCTTGAATCAGCTTCTTCCTCTACAGCTCCATGTTGTTTCAGATTCATCACAATCTTCCCCATGTCCACCAATTTGGCCAGGTACTCTCGCTGCCACTCAAAAAACCACAGCTTCCTGAAACCTAAACACATGGAAACACATCAAATCCCACAAAACGAGTCAAAACCCTAACAAATCTGGAACAAATCCAAACAAAAAAATGTGGCTTACCCCTTGCATGTTCCTAGGACATTTGAAGAAGACACGCCCCTTGTTGCCATTGTCATCTGTCTGGGCCACGAGCTCCAGCACCCTCTGCAGCCCACACTCATCGCAGATGATGAGGGGGAGCCTAGTCTGTCTCCCGAGTGGGTACTCCCCTATCTTATCGGGTAGCCGCGGGCGCCTGTTGCGCGTCGACGAGCTCGCACGACGAGACATGGCGGCTATGGTAGGAGAGGGCAATGGAGGGGCGGCGACGACCAAGGGAGGGGAGACGGAGGAAGAAGAAGAAGTGGGGAGAGAACCGTTGGGACTGAGCAGACGGGGGAGACGGCGCGTGTTAAGTGAAAGACAGCGGGAGCATAATGGTCTTTTGGCATTGGTCTTCGCGCGTTAACGGCCCGTTGCCACGCTGGCTAGCTGATCTGGTTTGCTATATCAGCAAAAATGGCAAAATAATAGGCGAATTAGTGTTTTCTGAGATGTTTTTGTAGTTGGCACCATAAAGTTGGTAATAGGAGAGGCAGACACCGTAAGAGTGGTAAATAATTAGAAATCTGACTAGCTGTGCTTCCGAGCTAGCTCTTTTAAGCCCGTTGGGGACGCCCTGATCGCGAAGCTGTCACGTGCACAGCACAGATAACGACAAGTTTCTCCGGCCATTGCAAGCAGCAATTCAGAGTTCATTCAGACGATCGGTTCTGAGTGTCCGATGATTAGGATTTGCTGTGCGGCTGAGAGGTTTGCCTCGGAGGCTCGGAGGCCATGGTTGCGGCAGCGTACTACGGACCTGTTGTATAGCTGGACTAGTGCTACGCCACTAAATTTAAATTGTAGTTTGGTCGAATTACGTTATTAGTCTTTGTCGGTAGTTCATATATCTAGACAGTATATGATTAAACTTTATTCATCCATTTTTTTGAATTTTATTCATCTAAATTTTAGTTGGACTAAGAACTAGTAGTTCGGATAATCCAATACCCACTACAACAAAGGATGCACAGCAGCAGGGTTGGGTATCATCGAAACGGAATTTCTTTCGTGTCTGAGTGCGACACAACGCAACGATTCTCGACCACACACAACGCAACGATTCTCGATTCAATGACGAATTGTTCAACGGAGTTTCTTTCGGCCACGGACTGGCAGTGAATGATGCACGGGCGTGTCAGGCACTGATGATATAGTCTCTTCGTCCAAAAAGTGGCGCACATATCATTTTCAAAAAGTCCAATAATTTTAAGCTTAAATAAGTTTATAAAAAAATATCAGTATTTTCTATGAAAATATATTGCATGATTGATTTGATGGTATCTATTCATTATCATAAATGTTAGTGCATTTTATATAAGTTAGATCAAACTTAGAATTAGTTGACTTCATGAACAACGGTTGAATTTGGGTCTACAATTTGTGCCGAGTAGTGTACCATGAGACATTTTGAGTGCGTTTGGTTGCCTATACCAGCCCTTAGCCAGGCCCTCCTCATGCGAGAAAATACGTTTGTTTGGTTCACGTATCTGTCAGGCTAGGCTCTGCGAGTGCAAGGAGCCCTGCGCCAGCCTCTTAAGAAACATAGAAATCGGCCGTTTCTGGCGGGCCAGGCTCGCGCAGTGCGGGTAATTAGCCATCTAATGGCGTTATTAATACAGTATTAGCACAATATTAAATGGTATTAACATATTTCGATTCATATTAAGGAGTAATAAGATAAATTAAGAGCTATAAGATAATAGTTGTTCGTAATAAATGTCATGACGATGATTATTTATATATTTTTATCTCATGCAACCTGTCCTTATGAGAGCAACCAAACAGGTTCTTGAGACAACATGGCTCATGCAAACAAACAACCAAATGCCATGCTCTAGCATGCATTGTGCCTAGCTACCGAGAGCCATGCTCCTCTCATGCGAGCCAGGCTAAGTTCATCCGCGAACCAATCAAGCCCTTGGGATTGGTTTTAGGGTCAGACGGAGGTTGTGCCCTAAGATGTAGTTGACCTCTACGAGGCTGTCGAATCCTAGTTGAATCCTCCCTCTAGCCATGGATCTAAGGCCTTAGCCATTGGATCTCGCAGCAAAGCGGCGAGGTGCGTGAATAAGGTGGGAGGAGGCACTCATGGCAACCATGGGTGAGAAAGGGGGCAAGGGTCTCTGGCTCTCTGCCCCTAGACATGAGGTTAGCCTCGCCTAATGTAGATACCGAGAGGAAGGGAGGCTTTGACAAGGCGGGGGTGGAGGATGCAACGACGGCATGGAAAAGTCGTATTGTATTGGGTTGAAACTATAAATTTTTTGTAACTGCAAGCGCCCAGACGTCCGGACGGGCGCGCGTGTCCAGATGCCTAGCCTGCTACACGTCCCGTGCCGCTCTCCGTGCTTCCTGCTTCCCACGCCCCTACCCTCCCCACCGCTCCAAGTGCTTTTTTGCTGCACCGCTCCTTGCACCACGCCTGCTGCGCCTACGCTGCTCCCCTACTTCCTGCGCACATGCAGGGACCGCTTGCGCTCCTGTCGCCATCTCCCTCCACATCCCCGGCACCCGAGCAGTACTCCATCCCTCTGCTCCTCACACGCATGCACAACGACCCAACAACTGCAGCAGGAGGTTGTGGCGGGTGGGGCACATTGCAACATGTGAAGCATCCCGATCTACTTTTGGAACATCCAGAAGAAACACTTGCAACATATGTCTGAAACAGCTGAAAACACTTACAACAGATGTATGAAACACTTGCAAAAACACCTGAAACACTTGAAAACACGTGTGTAGTAATTGCAAAACATATGCAACATTCAGATGAAACAATTGTAACATAAGTATCGATCACCTGAAACACCTTAAATAAACGCTCGCAACATGCATGTTATGCAACATCCAGATCTACTTATGCAACATTGAAATGAAATACTTGAAACATATGTCTGAAACATCTGAAACACTCGAAACATATGCTTGCATCAATATTGTCATTGTAAAATATGCAACATCCTAGATCTATTTTTACAACATACAGATGAAACACTTGAAACATCTATCTGAAACGTAAACACTTAAAACATGGTGTCGCCGACAGCCACGACCTACGGGCCAGGGGGGACGTCTAGAACAAAAGCCTAGCGTACACCCAAGCACAGGCGCACCGGCAGCGACCTCCTCCTGGTGGCACCGGGGCAGTGGTGGCGCGATGAACGCCATAGCCGCGACAGACGAGGTGAGATTGGGTCGGGGCGCGGCGTGGGATGGGGGCGCAGCGGAGGATGGTTGTGGCGGCAAGGCAGAGTGGGTACGGGCGGACGTCGCCCAGCGACCGCGACGGGCAGATTGCGCGGTGGAGGCGACCGCTGTGGACGGACGGCTCGGTGGAAGCGGCTGCGACGAACGAGTAGCGAAATATTCTATAGGAGTTAGAAAGCCAGAGGCCGGTTGCTTGGCCGGTACGCAAGCAAAGCGTTCGTCCGTCGGGCGCCTTAACCCTATCATTATCGTAAAATTTTGGGATGTGCTGATAGGTAAGAGAGGTAATTTGGTATATGGGTTAGGTTAGGTTAGGTTTTAACCTATTATTAGCCGCCCTAATGGATGCGCTGATTGGTCAGATTGGAGTGGTGTGTAGTGCCCGATCAATTGCCAGGCGGATCCGGGATATCGTGACGAGGATCAAAGGGTGCGTGCTGTGGGCCCGACGAAGACGACCATGGTTCCATGATGCGCCTGCATTATGGAGCACCATTGTCAGTATACGCCATGGGCTCAATGGGCCGACGCGTGCTCTCATCTCACACAAGGCCCAAGCAGCCAAGAGAACGGTGGAGGAATAAAAGTACGGCAGCAGTAGCAGATCAGGGAAGAAGGAACTATTATTCAGAAAGACTCCATCTCCTTCTGGCTTCTACCGTTCTTCATCCACCCCAAGCCTCTGACTCTTGTACCTGGATTTCCTACTTCCACTATCTTCTAGAACCTTCTAGTATCTTCCTCCTGGCATCTTATTCCTCTGCTTGCTACTTGTCCCGAATTCCTTCTCGATTGTATCTGGTTGTTGGTGCTGCTAGTAACAATGTATTGAGGTTGCTAACAACCATGCACCTAAAGTTGTGGTCCGCTGCGCATTCTTCCCTGATCTGCTACTGCTCATTCTTAATTAGTTGTGGTCCTAACAAGTTCGTACGTTGATGAGTCAGACTTGTCGTTTCAGCATGCTGCAAGGGTCTTGCTGCACCATGAGTTCAGTGGGGTGAACTGTGGCCGAGACCGAGATCGCGACTTCAATCATATCATCGTGCTGCTCCATCGAGAGAGAGAGAGAGAGAGGCAGCTCCCCACAGCTTCATCCTCAACGTCCGACGTGGCGCATGGCTGGCAGACGGAGGTTGGTGGGGACATGTGCCACGTGGACGCAACCGATTGCCTCCCGGATTCGTGGCCATCCAACAACCCAAGAGTCCCCCAAAATGCTTGCCGTCGACGTCGACAGCCAGCAGAGGCAAAAGAAAAAAGCGTCGCCGTGCAAATATTTTAGTATCACTTTATTATTGCTTGCGTTTCATGTGTCAAATACTGTAGCTTACTGCCAGACAAGCACACTTCTGCAGCTACAAAGCCAGCCAAGACAAACGAGCTCGCCTCCACGCAGCCGCAGCGATGGACAAGCGCGGCAGCTTCGGGGGGAGCTCGTCCGACGACGTGGAGACGCCGCTGCTCCAGCCGCCGCCCGCGCGCGACGACAGGGACAAGGAGCGGCCGCCGTCTTCGTCGTCGTCGTCGTGGGTGCGCGCGCTGCTCGCGCACAGGTACCCGGCGGTGGCGTCGGGCCCCGCGGCGGCCGCGGCCGTGTGCTTGCTCGTCGACCTCAGCGTCGGCGCGGGGGGCGCCCACGCCCACGCCCACCGCGAGGCGCGCAACATGCTCGCCGTCCTCGCCTGGGTCTTCCTCTGGTGGGTCACGGGCGCCGTGCCGCTCGCCGTCGCCTCCATGGCGCCGCTCTTCCTGTTCCCGCTCTTCGGCGTCGCCTCCGCCGACGCCGTCGCCAAGGCCTACATGGACGACGTCATCTCGCTCGTCCTCGGCAGCTTCATCCTCGCGCTCGCCATCGAGCACTACCAAATCCACCGCCGCCTCGCTCTCAACGTACGTGACGCGCTGCCCTCCCTCCCTTCCGTTTCATCTCGCCATCGTTTCTTTGACTCCTCAGTCCTCACCATGTGGGTCTGCAGATCACGTCGCTCTTCTGCGGCGACCCGGTGCGGCCGCCGCTGCTGCTGCTGGGAATCACGGGCACCACCTTCTTCGTCAGCATGTGGATCCACAACACGGCGTGCACGGTCATGATGATGCCCGTGGCCACGGGGATCCTGCAGAGGCTGCCGCGCGGGGGCGGGGGAGGCGACGCCGGGGCGCACGAGGAGGTCCGCCGCTTCTCCAAGGCGGTGGTGCTCGGCGTCGTCTACGCGTCGGCCATCGGCGGGATGGCCACGCTGGCGGGCACCGGCGTCAACATCATCCTCGTCGGGATGTGGTCCACCTACTTCCCGGAGCAGGAGCCCATCACCTTCAGCTCCTGGATGTGCTTCGGCCTCCCCATGGCGTTCATCCTCTTCTTGGCACTCTGGATCACGCTCCCCATACTGCGTTCACCGGAAAGGCTCTCTCTGCACCTGAAGCATCTCAGAAGAGATCACGTCTGTAGTGTGGGAGCTGCCAAAATACATGTACTGCTCCAACAACACCTGCCCACTCAGCTGTAGTGTGTGGAAAATTTTTGGGAGCGATGCACTCTCTACGGTTGCTAAACCTGGACAGATGGCCATCTCAGAAGAGAGCTGAACAATTATTGTTTATGTTAGGTTGAATGAAGATTGAAGATTGCTTCCCAAAACTCTCTCTCCTCTTTTGGGCATCACTCTCTGACCACACTGCAGAAGGCCTTAGGTTCGTGCTTCTTTCTATCTAGTACGGAGTAGAATTTAGTGAAGTTCTTTTTTTCTTTCTGAAGCTTTGCGGACAAGATTTTCATTATTTTAGTCATCATCTAATAAAAATATATAATACTGCTAATTCAACATGGCAACATCATCCAATATCTTTCCCACCATTTAGGCCACGTGACAGATGTCATCAGCTTGATGTAAGGTCTCAGCATTTGACTCAGACCTCACCACGTTTAAATTCCATGTTTCAGATCATCACTCATCCAGTGCAATTCAGGGAATACTTATCTCATGAAAATATTCTTCTGAACTATGCAGGTCCAATGGTTTTTGCAGAGAAGATGGTCTTGGCAGTGTTTGGGGTAAATTCCATTTCTTTGCCAACACATGTTCTACCTTATCTGTGTCATAAATTTTCTCTTCCAAAGATGGTCATATCATACAGGGTTGTTTTTGTGTAACAGACTTGCTTGTTTGTGACACACTGAAATGGGTAATTTTGGCAGGGTCTGATTGTGCTATGGATGACCAGGAACCTTACAGGTGACATACCAGGGTGGGGAGCTCTCTTCCACAACAATGTCGGAGATGGAACAGTCACCGTAAGTGCACCAGAAAAAAAAAAAACTATCCAGCTATGTATGCATCTCTTAATCTCACAAGTCACTCGCAATTCAGATCATGATGGCTACCTTGCTCTTCATAATTCCAAGCCGGAAGAACAAGGGCGAGAAACTGATGGACTGGAACAAGTGTAGGAAGCTCCAGTGGGACATTATCCTCCTCCTGGGGGCAGGATTCGCCATTGCTGAAGGCTTCAGGTCAAGCGGCCTGACTGATATCCTCTCTGACGGGCTCCAGTTCCTCAAGGGTGCAGGGACGGTGGTCATTGTACCTGTGGCCTGCATCGTCAGCGGTGTCATCACGGAGTTCACCTCTGACGATGCGACCACGACACTGGTGCTCCCTCTGTTCGCTGAATTGGCGAAGGCGATCAATGTGCACCCAGCGTTGCTTATGGTTTCTGGAGCAGTTGGGGCTCAGCTTTCGTACTTGTTACCTACTGGATCGCCGTCAAACGTAATTGGGTTCAGTACTGGCCACATTACCATCAAGGATCTTGTGATCACAGGACTGCCCCTGAAAGTTGTCGGAATAGCAGCTCTCACAATCTTGATGCCAACTCTAGGTAACATAACAGCTGCACAAATCACGACTAAGAGCTAGTCAGTAGTCAGTAAATTCAGAACTGGCTTCTTATTCTGATACTCTTCTTTCTTGAACGATTATATGCAGGTTCACAGCTTTTTTGCACAGACAGCAGGTTCTAGGAGTGGAATGCAAATTTTGGACAGTCCATCCCTCCAAATCCAGTTGTATATATGTACAGTACTTTCCTTATTTCGTATCTATGGCCTAGTGAAGGCTATGAAGGGTATACTCTTTGATCTGTACAAGGTTAAACATTGAGATTGATTGGTATGCAATCTCTGTGTGAAAAATAGCTATAGAAATGCACCTTGAGAGCTAAATGAAGTGAAAGGGAGAGCAATTTAAAATTCAAGACGAACTTCTTAGCCCATCCTAACATGGGAAGCTCAATCCTATTCCAAAACTTCAGCATACAAAGGATGATGGACTTGAAACGGAGGAAAATTCAGATCAAGTGTTGGAAAGGTCAGTATCCTATCAAGTATATGGGTAAATAAATACTATGTAAAGCTTGTGGGTTTCGCACTTTTGTAGCGAGCTCCAAGGATATGCGGTACTGTCTTAAACTGGAACTTCTGTACTCTGAAATGTGGCTGGTGTTGACTGTTGACCTCTCAAATTCAGTAGGCCATCCTACCGAGATTGCGTTGACATTTGTGGAGATTTTAGTTCTCTCGTCATACTTAAATTCACCAAGCACAAGATATCCCAAACATCCCATTCATATGTGTTCTTGAGGTTTCAGCCGTGCAAGCAAATGAAAATTGTTTGTCTTCCCTTTTCTGAAGCAAGCAGCAGAAAAACTCTGCAATTTGAGTAAAAGTACAACGAGGAGAAGTGGAGTTGGCACTTACACACGAACTGGAGTGAGAGTGACTCACCGCCGGCCCGCCGGGGCTACTAGTTGAACGACCAATGCGGCGGCTCGGGCGATAGAGAATTAGAGATGGCCGGCCGGCATCGTGGCTTGACTCGCACCCTTGACCAGGCCAGGTACGCCCGCCGCGCTGCAACTGCTGCCTTCATAGCTCGCCAATTTCGAGCACCATGTCCCGCCTCGATCGTCAACCGGATGCCAGCAATCCCATCCCACCTACAACCTGACAATTCCACCGGCGGGCGGCGGCCGCCTCGGCGAGATCGGCGACGACTCCCTCGCTTTGCAGCTGCAAGGGAGAAGAAGAGTAGAAGACGAGGAGTGAGGGTCAGGGACAGAGCATCTGGGCCGTCCACAGTACAACAACCCGAGATGGCAACCGTCCGATCCGACCAACCAAGCACACCGGCTACTTTCCCCGCCGCGACTGCTGCCCAGTGAGGAGAAAATCGGAATTTTGCCCTATGGGAAGTGGGCTCCGCCCAAATGCCTTCAATTTTGTGGGCTTCGTTGAAATGCCCTTATGAAACGAGTCCAACACGCTATAATACCATTTTGAGTTTTAAGTCCACTTTAAAATATTTTCAGCCAAAATTTCAGTCTTCAGTGACTATTTCGCCCCTGAGCTCGTTGAATCGGTGGGGGAAAGCGAGCAGAGAGAGAAGTGCGGGCGGCGGTGCTGTTCGCCGCCGGGCACAGAGAGAGATGGTGGGAGACAGAGAGGGGCTTGAGTGGTGGAGCTGCTCACCTTGTGAAAGCGAGCACTGGGCAAGCCACGGTCGGTTGCATGCACAGGCGCTTGGGCGAGTGCCCTGGACCGAAAGGCTTGCTTTCTGGCGCTGAGAACCTGTGACTCTGTTGCTCGGCCTCCCACGACGAACAAGCAGGAAGAAACGAAGAACTAGAAATCTAGAATAGGAAACCGGCTGCCACAAAATCAACGAAAAACTGGACCAAATCAAAACAAATCGCGACCAAACTTTTCACAGGCCATCACAAAGGGAGTTGGTGAGCATACTCTAAGAGATCATCGCCCAATTTCAACCCAAACTCCGAAAAAATTAGATCACGGTCAAGAACACGAAAAACTCCCCAAAAACGAAATTCGTTCAATTTCTTCATGCTCGACTCGATTCAATCAAATTCACTTAAGGGGTAGCATCAACTCATGTCATAGCACGAATCTGAGCAAAAAAGAATGAACTAAATCGGTCTCAAAATGAAGAATCGAAGCAAGAACGGGGGAGGGAAAAACTAAGAAAAAAACTGCAAAAATAAAATCACAGACACAATCCCTAGAACACGAATTGATAGTGTCATTGGCAATTGGTGCCGTCCTTTCACAAATAAACACAGAGAAGGCAAATATTGGAACAACATACATTCTAGGCCAAACCCTAGAACACAAATCGAAGTCATCGAAGGAACAAATCAGAGAGGCAAAAGCAAAATCCTAAAATACAAGAGGAAACGAGAGCACCTGAGACTGCTCTGTGCCAACCGCGGCACCGCCGAGACCTGCCAGCACCGGACACGAGCACCATGAGCGGCCACAGTAGGAGAGAGGGAGAGGGGGAAAGATGAGGACAACTGGCCTGCAAGGCCATGCCTCTGCCCTGCCCTGCGCCAGCCGCGCCACGGCCCGATGGTAGATCGAGACGGAGGGAGAGAGGAAGGGGAGGCGACGGGAGCGAGAGAACGAGAGGGGGGAGAGATGAGAGGGCAGGGGTCAACGAGCTCAGAGGTAAAATGGTCACCGAAGACTAAAATTTTGGCTGAATTTTTTTTTAAAGTAGACTTAAAACTCAAAATGACATTATAGCATATGGGACTCGTTTCATAAGGGCATTTCAACAAAATCCACAAAATTGATGGCATTTGGGCGAAACCCACTCGTGTAGGGGCAAAATTCCGATTTTGTCCCCAGTGAGAGGCCCACGCGGCGACGCCCCCTCGATCTGCGCGAGAGCCCCAGCGGCTCGCCGGTCGCCGGCGATGATGGTGGGCCCGGGCCGAGCTCATGGCCACAGAAACCGCCTCCGCCGCCTCATCCCGCGGCTCTTCCTCCTCGTCTTCGCCGTCTATGCCGCCTCCTTCGCGATCTACCTCCTCCAGTCCCAGTCCCACCACGAGTCGCCGCCGGACCCCACCCCGAGGACTGATGCCCGTGACGGCGTTGGGGCGCCGTCGTCCTCGCAGAAGCCGTGGCCGCGGCTCCCGTCCTTCCTTCCCTGGGTGTCCAGCGCCGCTCCGCCGCCGCCGCCGCCGCCGCAGCACACCTGCGAGGCCTACTTCGGCAACGGCTTCTCCCGCCGTGTGGACGTCCTCCCCGCGGGCCGCGGGGGCGGTGGCGGCTGGTTCCGGTGCCACCACAGCGAGACGCTGGGAAGCTCGATCTGCGAGGGCGCCAGGGTGCGGCTTGACCCGGCGCTCATCGCGATGTCCCGCGGCGGGGAGCCGCTGGAGCAGGTGATGGGCCGCGCCGAGGAGGAGGAGCTGCCCAAGTACGAGCCCGGCGCGCTGCAGGTTGAGGGGCCGGCGGCGGGTAGGACGGCGCCCCTGGTGGACGCGGGGTTCCTCAACGACTACGTGCCCACCGGCGGGATCGGGATGCACACTATGAGGGCCCTGCTCGAGTCGGCGCGCGTTGTGCCTCCCGGTGAGCTGCACTGCTCTCAGGTATTCTTTGCCTTGCAATCTACTAGTAGCTGATTTGCTCATTGATGATAAGTAGTTTGTTAATGAATTTCTGAAATCCAATAATTAGGAAGAGTACAGTCAGCTCAGTTTTTGATATAGGAGTATTTAATGAAAGTCTGTTTGATCCAGCCCTCATGCTGGATATACTGAGCAGTCGTGTGAATATTTATTTGTGTTAAGACTAGGAGCAGAAATAGGATCTAAGAATGAAGTCTGTGTCTGATTTATATCCAAAATAAAACATCGTGGGAGTATAGCTATAGTATATAGATTCTGCTTTTGGTTATTTGGTTTAGTTTGAATTTGTTCAATTAATGCTGTGCAGTTATCTGATGATTCTATCATATAACTTGTGCTTATTATTTCAGTTATACTTTGAATGTGAGTTGATTGCAATGTAGCAGTTTCATAATATAATAGATAGATTTCAGTTACTTTGGAATGGGAGTTGATTGCAATGTAGCAGATTCATAATATAATAGATAGATATATTCTAACTATCATTGAACAAAATGAGTGCCCTTGGTTTTACCTTTTGGTCATACCTTTTGGACACTCAAAAGGGTAGCTTTGTTAGGCTCTTGTTGGATTAGAGTTTTTTTATTCAATTTTGAATCGATGTTTTCTTCTTACATTCCTTTATCCCTGGAATTCAGTAGTCCCTTCTTAACTGTATTATCACACTTGTTATTGCAGTGGGTTGAAGAACCGACACTTCTGGTCACTCGTTTTGAATATGCAAACCTTTTCCACACAATTACGGATTGGTACAGTGCATATGTTAGTTCCAGAGTCACGAATTTACCAAACCGTCCTAATGTTATATTCGTGGATGGGCATTGCAAGGTATGTCATGCACTGTGTATTTTGTTATTGGTTCAGTTCATTCTGTTTGTTGCTTAAGTTATGGCCAACAAGTCTGTTTCTTCAGCTATTACTGGGGTAAACAACATTAGTCACATTTTTGTATGCTTTATCTTTAGTTTGTATCATGCAATGATAACCCAGCATGGTGATCTCCTGTTTTTTTCCTCATTTATTCTGACATGTCTGTTGCTCATGTTTGGAGAACAATTGTAATCAGAAGCAGTTCTCGATTGTATGCCAATCTGTCAGTTCCTTTGTTCTACATTTGAGGCAAATAGCACCCTTGCTATATTTTTTGGCAGTTAGTCCTGATGCTTCATCCAAAACTTTTGCCAGTCGTACCCATGCTTCCATGTATACCTAACTTCCAGATTATATTGGTCCTCTGTTATGTCATTTTCTTTCAGATTTAGCATGACTTAATATGATATTCTATTGCTAGGTAGCAGTCAACTTATTTGTCTGCACAATGATTTATGTTTCTTTTCCCTCTCTAGTATATTCTTGTCAAGTGACAGATGTGACCTGATTTCCACAGGCACAATTGGAGGAAACATGGGAAGCACTTTTCTCAAGTGTGACATATGCTAAGAACTTCTCTGGTCCTGTTTGTTTCCGACATGCCATTCTTTCACCATTGGGCTATGAGACTGCCATGTTTAAAGGCCTCAGCGAGAGCTTCAGCTGTGAAGGTGCCTCCGCAGAGTCCCTCCGAGAAAAAACGGACTACGAGAAAACTGCACGGCTATCTGAATTCGGGGAAATGATTGTAGCTTCTTTTGATCTTCTGCAGGATGACATCATGTCATCCAAAAAATCAAATGGGCTCAATATTCTCTTTGTTCGGCGAGAAGACTACTTGGCCCACCCACGCCACACTGGTAAGGTTGAATCCAGACTAAGCAATGAGCAGGAGGTGTATGATGCAATTGACAAGTGGGCACAAGGTCTGAAGTGCAAAGTGAATGTTGTCAACGGTCTTTTCGCCCACATGACCATGAAGGAGCAACTGCGTGCTATCCTGGAAGCTTCAGTGGTAATAGGGGCTCATGGGGCCGGTCTAACACACTTAGTTTCAGCAACTCCTGATACAAAGGTTCTTGAGATTATCAGCAGCATGTACCGGCGCCCACATTTTGCGCTGATCTCACACTGGAAGTCTTTAGAGTACCATGCCATAAATCTTCCTGGGTCATTTGCAAGGATCACAGATGTCATCAGTGAGTTAAGAAAAATACTGGAAGGTCTCGGATGCTGACACAGGTATTCATCAAAGCGACCACAAGCCATGCAGATTGGATAACGTGTCTACTTCATCATACATACCTGGTTACATTAACTTCACCGATGCATATGAGTTTTAACTCGAGGGGGGTGTTTCACGGATTATTTCAACCACTGTGACAAGAACCCAATCATTCCCAGTTCCCAGCAAAGAATTTTATTATGCTGCCAAATGCTGAAAGCCAAGAAAGCAATCCTCTGTCTGGTTTCTTACAGCAAATGTTAACACGTAATCCAACCTTAGGTTGTCCACTCTATTCTTGGACATGATTCTAGGACCACAATCTTGACCAAACTATATTCTTTTCTGGTTTATAGATTAGCATATCTTTTGTATGTTACACATGTTGAGTGTTGAGTACTTTCCTTTGTGCATGCTGTATGATTTACTCAGTTTTGTGAACCCACAAAAGCAAGGTCGCCAAATCCAAGGGCAGCAACATTATGCCGCCGGCCTGATCATTTTGTAACATGAATGAAATAGTATTTGAGGGGGAAAATGAAGCGAGATGTCGTCAGTGACTCAAAATGCACGTGCACTAGCGTACTGTGTTTCTTTTATCTCTTACATATATTGTTATTGTTATACGTCCAGTCAAACGTGAAAAGAAAAGAGAGAAAAGACCAACTTGTTAACAGAAACACATATGAGAGTAGAGTTCTGAGAACAAGAAAGGTACGTAAGATTATATAAGAAGGAAAAGAGAGACACTTCCAAGATGCAAAGAACAAATATGGCGTAAGGTGAGTTTGAGCTACTTCGCACAAGAATGGTCCATTTGTGCTAAGCACATATCCAAAGATTTTTATTTTGATTAAATCAATTTTTGCTAACATGGTTATTTTAAGTTGTTTTATGCTTATATAAGTTACATATAAAAATGTGAAACGTGTTTTCCAAAGTAATTGAATTAGGTTTTTCGATTTTATTTGATCAATTGTTATTAGCAGTACATATATATTACAAAATAAAATAAGGTCTAGATCACAATGTGATCAACCATAATAAGACAATAATTAATAAATAAATAAAACAAAAGGAAAGGCAAAAGCGTTGTTGTGTGGTAGTGGGCCAAGTGGGCCGTAGTGCAAAATTTCGTATGGAGTAGTGGAAACCGTATAGTAATCCCCAACCCTTTGCTCAACAAAAAGCTACTCTGTAATCCCCAACCCGATCTCCAGTTCTCACTATAATAGGAAGATTTTCCTAAAAAAAGTAGGTAGATCAAATTTGCATAATTCCAATCAAGTATTAAAAATCGCATCTAGCAGATTGCATTAGATCCTGTCATGAAGCTGAGAAATCGTTTTTACCGTACACGTAGTACGCAGAAATTTGTATGTACATGAAGTGTATATATATATACTCGAAGTATATACATACACGAACAGTGTTTGCTATACATAGATGGCAACTAGGGTTAATTAAAAAAAAAGGGCATGGCAGCAACAATATTGTTCCTGGCTGGACTCCTAACTAGCTTGCATGTTCTCATCTGATATTATACTGTCAGCAAGCAGTTGATGGCTCGCTGCACGACCGTCACGTAAGCACTCGCAGTGCACGCCGCCCAACAATTACCTGCAAGGCGCCGAACGAATTCACACCGTACCTGAGCATCACGGCCTGCATGCCGTCACTCCGCACCCTCGGACGGGCTGCACCACTGTCCGCCATCCGCGTTGCATCTAGCAGCTGCTGCCGGCCACGTACGCTAGATCGCGGCTCGTAGCTGCCACCCCTCTCAACTTGCAGGCTGCATGGCGCACGCTACGCCAGCACCGCAGGGCCTCTATCTGCGCATGCAACCGCGGATGCGTGGCGATGTCGTATATATGGGGGTTATGGATGAGCCGTCGGTAAAGATGTCCAACACGAACAGTGTTTGCATGACCCGATGGGGTTAGGGTTGCACGACACGTCGCGGGCAACAGTATTGTTCCTGGCTCGACCCACTAACTAGCTTGCATGTTCTCATCTGATATTATACTGTCAGCAAGCAGTTGATGGCTCGCTGCACTAGCCGTCACGTAAGCGATCGCAGCGCGAGCACCTAGAGAACAATTAAGGGCAAGGCGCCGAACGAATTCACACCGTACCTGAGCATCACGTCCTGCATGCCGTCACTCCGCACCCTCGGGCGTCCGCGCTGCACGTGGGGGAGGAAGGGAGCCATCCGCGTTGATCTCTAGCAGGTGCTGCCTCTGCGGCCACGTACGCTAGATCGCCGGAGGCGAGGGAGGCTGCCACGCGCCCTCTCAACTTGCAGGCTGCATGGCGCACGCTACGCCAGCAGGCGCAGCCGCAGGAGCGCCCTCTCTGCGAGAGAGGAGCGGATGGGAGCTAAGGTTGGTGTGAGGGGAGGCAACCGCGGAGCGTGGCGATGTCGGGACGGTGGGGCCTTGGGAGGAGGGGAGGAGGGAGGAGGAGGGAGGAGGAGAGGGGAGGGGTTACGGATGAGCCGTCGGGCTCTATTTTCACCGGCTTAGCCCAAGCATGGCCGCTCCCTCGGGCAGGCCAGAGTCTGCACGCCACCGGCCGGCCATGCTCAAACGTGTAAAAAGCGGGAAAATCGATGCCTCGGGCTGCATGGACATTTATAGCCATCGGGCTCTATTTTCAGCTTACGGGCCGAGCACGCCGAGTCGAGTAAAGAGGCCGACAAACCTGTGAAAGGAAAATCAATAGGCCGACTCGGACACGTGAATTGGGCTGTGTGAAAAATCCCATAAATCTAGCAGAATGTTGTGTACTCTTGCAGAACAGCACTTACGTTTCTGGAAATTATGGCATTAAGGTGTTTTCAAACGAAAACTCTCTCCAATTTTCAGTTTGTACTGCACTTTTCTGAATAATAATTAACCCTAGACACATGTGTTATATTTATTGTACAATTCTCTTATATCTCACCGTATAGAATTTGTATACAACATTAAATCTGCAGTTTAATTGTTGTTTTGTCTAGCTTTAATTTTTTCCGAAACAAATAGTAGATTAATTCTGAAAAAAATTATATGCTTTGATTTCAATTTAATTCTAAAAATTGCTAGTGCAACCTCGTTATGAATTTATATCATGTAATTGCAAGAATAAAATATTGAATGATTATAACAGCTGAATCCTGTGGACCTTAGACTCCCCTCCCCCCCCTCTCAAGAGGCTCATATCTATTTTCTTTCGTAGCAGTGAATAATTTTTAGGATGAATGAATGCTTGGTATTAATTCTAAAAATTTGCATATACCATAATCTTGAAAAATGCTAGATACTTCTAAGAGTATTTTGTATAACCATCCGCTATCTTTTTGCACTTTGCCACTTGTTTACATGCAGTAAACTAATACGCACATGATGATTCCGGTAATAATAATATATGAATACCTTCGTGAAGAAGGAATATCCTGAATTTGTCTTGAATGACAGAATTATATAACATGATCATTTATTAAATCCTAGTAGGATATTTTACCGCCACTGAAGTGGAGTTGACCTTAAGCATTATAGTTCCTTATATTACTCTCAAAGAATGAGTATGTGACTAAGCTAAATCCTGAAGGTCTTATGTGACTCACTGAATGAGAAATTCTAGAAGATATCTTACGTTATGATTGCATAATACCAGAAATATTGAAAATTGAATTTTTAAGCTATATGACCATATGGGATATAATGCCGCTCTATAAACAAATACAATAAGCTTGGAGCTTTGTGATTAAAAGTCATAGAAGACGAGATGGTAAATAAGACTTCTTTTAATTCTAGAAAAAATATTTCTTGAAATAGAAAGACCGAGAGCATTGAAGTACTAGAAGTATTCAAATTTATCATCCATAATACCTCAATATCAAGTAGAAATTGAGTTAGAATTTTTGGACAGTATTATGAATCAGGATATATGACTTGCATATGTTGTACTCCTAAAAGGATCATGATTACATATCACAACTATAAAGTAGAGCATGCATGAAGCTGCTAAATGTCAAGCATAGAAGCTAAGACATGTAAGAATGGATAAGAATTAGAATATTTAAAGGTTCTCTTGAAGAAGATCTTAGCCATGTGCTTATAAACTTGTATGTCTTTAAACTTAGTATCCTAAAGTATTAGTAGTAGTGGTAATGGTGCTTTAAGTTTTAGTTCCTGTTGAATTAAGTGGATTATGTAAACTCATAGAATAGTTAATGGTTACTTTATTAGCTTGAAGACTAATATGAAGCATTTATATGTTCTTAGTTGCACTTCTTATTTGCAGTAATATGTGCCAATCTTGCATGGAATAAATAAGTTTTATATGTTTCGCATATAAATAATTGTCTATTTTTGCCTATCTAAATAAGCTTGCAATGATTTATCCATAAAAAAACCTTAATTAATCATGAAGGTTATAGTTCTTTGTGCACTACTACCATATATGTAGAAGGGAAACTAGATTTTCTAGAAGCACATGAACAATTGGACTATACTGACACATTAACTGATCTCGGAAGGATCGATTTAGTCAAGAAATAGTATAATTCTAAAACTAAGTATTTAATACGTTAGCCTGAAAACTAGAAGTTTATGTTCTACCATGAATATATAGTTGTACACTAAATAGTACACTATATATGTGAATTTCATGCCATAATAAATGAATACTAGGAGTATGATTGGATTCTTTGAAACATTAGGAATGATTATTCATAGATAATGCATGAAGAATATTACTACTTGAAGTAATTATGGCATAAAAAGAGGGAGCAATTTTGGGTAAAGGCATAAGAAAATATGGGTAATATATATTTAATAGGCATAGCTTTTCTAAATCTATCTTTAAGTGCATGTATCAGGATTTGAAGTTCTAGCCGCGTCCTCTCCGTCCGAGTTAACTTTCTTTACATTGCACGAATTGCAATTAAACTTGTAGCTTTGCATTTTGTTGTTATCTATTACGTTGGATTAAATACCAACATTTTACATTACACATGAATGTGT